CACTATAGGCTGTGTGCTATAGGACAGCTAGCATAAAATTGGCAGTTGAAACCAATCAGTTACTTCTTGAAAACCCTCTACACAGGGTTGCTATGAGTCAGAACATACTCTAAGGCACTTAAGAACAATAACAATCATTAATGTTCTTAAGTATCTTTTCCTGTGTGTTTTGGTCATTTGAATATCTTTTTTGATGAAATATCTATTCAAGTCATTGTGCCTATTGCTTGGTTAGGTTGTTTATCTTTTTTTTCTTTTTTGAATTCTATATTGATTATTTTCTTTGATACCCTTCTATTATGTTGAACCCTATGAAAGTGACATTATTTGATCATATTTGTCCTAGAACAGTGGCATTTTCATGAGATTCAGCCACATCTTCTTATCACCCATATTTCTATCCTTTTACAGTTTCTTAAATGTCTCTTTATGTACTTGTAAATATTTTAATATTATAGTATGAATATGAATCTGTGTCTTAATTTCGGTTCTCATTAGTGTGTTTTTAGATTCAATCTTGTTGGGTGTAGCAATAACTCATTTGTTTATTTTCAATTCTGTATACTATTACATTGTTATCTTTTCTGAAGTTTATGGGATATTTTAGACCTGTTTCTTTTCTTTCTTTCTTTTTGAACTATTGTGAATTAAATTCTTGAAATATTCCCATACATGTCCTCTGATGGGCATAACCCAGAGTTCCAGAATTAGGTGAAGTGAATGGACATAGGAAGTCCTTTGGGTAGTCCCAAAGAGTATTCCTAAGTGATAGAAGCAATTTATTGACATTATAAGTTCCTGCTTATATTTTAACTGACAATTAAAACCTAAGTGGATGTTTAAATATTATTTGATTAATTTAATTTTCCTTATTATTGTGTTGAAGGAGCTCTGGTAGCTTAGTGGTTATGAGTCAGGCTGCTAACCTCAAGGTCAGCAGTTCAAAACTACCAGCCTGTTTGTGGGAAAAAAGATGAGGCTTTCTGCACCCATAAAAATTTACAGCATCAGAAATCCTCTACATGGTTGTATGAGTCAGAACCAGTTCCAAGGCACACTACCACTATAACCATTATTATGCTGAGTGTTTTGACATTCATTGGGTGATTCATTTTTCCTGTTTTATGAAATATGTGTTTATGGTGTTTTTATTGAAGTATTTATATTTATTTCTTATTAATTCATAAAGGTTCTTTTCAAACTGGAGTATTTAATTTGTTATTTATATCCATTGTGAATTTCAACTGGTGTGCACCTTTTTAACGTGATACTTTTAGGTATTTTTTTTTTTTGCAAACACAAACTCAAGTTGTAGTATGATGGAGCTTCAGAAAACTTCATGGAAAAATGAAAATGACTGCTTCTTTGATCATTTACAATGAACTCAACAATATTGATAACCAAGAGCAATAATCTTAACCCATGGATTATAATATGAAAAAATATATATTGAAATAATTACTATTTTGCTATTATAATATTATGAAGTTACAACTTCCCACCAGTAAAATTAGGAATTGTTGTTGTTATATACCGTGGATCTGTTCCAACTCATAGTGACCCTGTACAGGGTTTCCTAGGCTATAAATCTTTACGGGAGCAGAAAGCCTCCTCTTTCTCATGCGGAACAGCTGGTAGTTTCAAACTGCTGACCTTGCAGTTTGCAGCCCTATTCATAACCACTACGCTAAATAGTTGGTAACAAAAGTTTAAAAAGGCGATAGACTGCCTGTTACATGAAAAATTTTGTTTGATTTCAAAGACTGTATTAGAAACTGCTGAATAGTGGATACATAAACAGGATATATCAGTCATGCATAGATTCAGCCCTGAAAATCTACATTTGAGATGCATTTATTATTTATCACTTGTATTATATAGGACACATATCTCTATATTGTTGTTGTTAGGTACCATCGAGTCGGTACCGACTCCTAGCGACTTTATGCACAGCAGAACGAAACACTGCCGCATCCTGGGCCAACCTCACTAATGTTGACACGCTTGAGTCCATAGAATCTGCCACCTGGGCAATCCATCTTGTTGGGGGTCTTCCTCTTTTTCTCTGTTATCCCTGTATAATAAAGTACAAATTTTAGCCATAACATGGTGTCAGTGTTTTTTATATTGTTGTTATTATAAGAACATCTTTGAATTTCAAGGAAGAAGACTAATCCAACTGCAGAAGGGAGGTAGGTCTCTGTGTATAAACATTTGAAATGGGTGTGAATGGAATGAAATGAGGAGATGGTATACCCTAGGATTCTTGGGGTGATAGAACAATTTAGCATAAATGTTTCCTTCTCTGAGTCTTGTTCTTTAAGGATTTGTATTTCCCTGGGATGAGAACAACAGCAATGAGTTAGATTAATGAGGAGCTTTGGATATTGGAACCCCAAGGGTCACTGAGACTGCAAATAGTGTGCCTGTAACTACCTGCTCAAGAGTAAGGAGGGAGTCTGGTTCCCATCACTTTCCACAGGAGCCTAGCCTTTCTCCATCTTCCGTGCTCTCTAAGTCCAGAGCTTGCATTTTTATCATTCACCCTTGAAGGGTAAACTGAATATCATTTCTTAAAGCTGGCACTCTGCCTGAAAATAAGCATTCGTCTTTGTCTCACAGTCTATCTGGGGCAGTTGTGAGGTGAGTACATACAGTTGATAAACAGAATGGAGCTAATTGTGAGATGTCTGCCTAATTTGTCCATCATGTTCTTGACATGTTTCCCTATATCAGTGTACCAACTCTCATTCTGATAATCACCTACTCTGACCCTATGTTTCCAGGGATTTTTTCTGTCCTCAACAGAAATTGGTGAATTTTCAATAATTCTCTACAAGTTTTTTTTTTTTTGTTGTTGTTGTTTTTTTTTTTTTTGTATTTCTTTGGCAGGGAGTAGGTGTGTTCAGTCAGCTGGTTCTTGATACCCCATTTGAGAGAAGATCTTTTACCTCACTTTGATGTAATCTGACTTTGGGAACTCAGAGTGAGGAAGTGGAGAACTGGGAAGACCCCACAGGCTGCATACCTGTGTCTCCTTTTTCACTAGAAAATATTACAAGACAGAGTTCCTTAGGATAATTGGACAAACACCCATATATTAATACTTCAAGATTTAATAAATATTGATGTTTTGCCACTACTATTCTTTTCTTAAAGTAACAAAACAGTGTGAATACATAAAGAAATATTATTTTTATTGCACTCCATTCCTATCCCTGGTCTTCTTTGCTTCCCATGGACAATCTTAAATTTAGTAGTTCCTTGGGCATTGCTTTAAAATATTTTTAACATCTGTATGTTTGTGTGTGTATTTGGGTGTGTGTATACCGCGATGAAAATACCCATCAGGTCAAGAAAGGATAAATAAATTCTTATACAGTAACAGAGTGAAACACCTTAAGGTTGTTAAAATTTATGCATGGAGTAAAATACATCAGACAAATAAGAACAAATATATATTCTAAGAAATCAATAGAAGTATCATGTTCACAGTATATAGAGTATTATCATGTAAAACATTAGCATTGTTTAGTTAGAGAATTAGACCAAAGTAATGAAAACACAAGGAAACAATAGATGCCAAGTTCAGTGCTGTGGTTTCCCAGGTGTAAAGAAAAGACAAATGCTGAAAATTAAAAGGGGAGCTGTTGAAACCAATATGCATTAAAAAAATACTGAATACACCACAGTTTTTTTTTTTAAATAAAGGAATTAAACTCATAAATAAAGAGAAAGAATTATATATATATATGTTTTAAGTACCTAATGCAAGTATTGGAGTCCTGGTATGGCACTGTGGTATAAACACTGGACTGCA